CTCCTACCTCTCTCTGCGCATGGCCGACAGAGGGCGGGCGCGGAGGGCGACCTCGGCGCCCCGGCGGGCCCGCTGCCCTCGGCGAGGCGCGGCACTGGCGCGGACCGCAGTGGGCTCCGCCCGCCCGCCGCCGCCGCTGCCCTGCGGCTTCGGGGGGGGCTTCCCTGAGATCCGTCGGCCGCGCGCGCAAGGGGGGGCAGGGGGAGGAGGGGAAGGCTTCTTCGAGGGAGGCTGCTCCTTAGAAGGCGCGGGCCGTGTCTGTAGATGTAAGGCCCACGCCTTCTAAGAAGCAGCCTCCTTCGAAGAAGCCTTCCCCTCCTCCCCCTGTCCCCTTGTCCGCGCCGCCAATCTTCTGCGGCTTCAGGGGCCTTCCCTGAGATCTGGGCGCTGCAGTTTTTTCGCTCCTGGCGTTTTGTTTGCCCTGTCTCGGGCCCCGGGGGCATCGCAGATCGATCGGGCTCTTGGGCGTCCGGGGTTCCAGTCGCGATTTTTTGCGGTGTTGCACATTTTTGTCGCAACGTCGGATCGAAGGGCTTCCTGTCTTGTGAACGGCGGTCTCTTCTTCCCAGGCCTCCTAGATGGGGTCGGAGTAGATGGGGTCGGAGGATCGCGCCGCATCGCCGATGCATTGCCGATGCGGCTCGATGTAGAGCCTGATTTGCTTCACGTCGACGTCGCCGATGCACCGGCCGCGTCGACGATGCATCGCCAGCGCATCGCCGATGCGTCGCCGATGCATCGCCGATGCATCGCCGATGTATCGGCGATGCGGCGCGATCCTCCGACCCCATCTACTCCGACCCCATCTAGGAGGCCTCTATTCTTGCGCTCCGACGTGGGCTGGGCTATGATTCGTTGTGGATTCCACGTGGAGTCGACGCCCTCGGTATAGATCTGGCGCTGTTTCGGCACGGATAGCTGGCGCGATGTGGCAGACGAGGTTCCCCGAAGACTTAACATAACCTCTGCACCCTGCCCTCCATCAGCGATCATCCGGCCGAATTCTGGCGGGTCCAGCCCCTGTGGGGGACTCGGGGTGTCTGGCACGTTCCCAGAGGGGGTTCGACGCCACCGGCACGTTCCCAGTGTGTCCGGTCCAGTCGGCCTGGCAGTTGCCCACTCTGCTGCCCGGGGTTGCGGAGGCGGCAGGGCACATCTCGGCGGCGCGCGGAATGGGGTGGCGCGAGGGGGGCGGCCTTGTAAGGAGGGAAGGGGGCTTCTCAGAAGCCCTTCCGCCCTCCACGAGGGCTTCTCGGAAGCCTGTGGTCCCTCGAGGAAGCCTCTCTGAGGTCAGAATTTTTGCACATCCACCGCCCAGGGGACCGAGGTCCCAGGCGGCGGCTATCATGTATCACTGTGGCCTTCGATCTCAGAGGGCCGCCCTCCCTCGCTCCCTCCGTCCCTCCGCGCCCCTCCTCGCCCCTCTCCGCCCTCTGCCCCTTCTCGCCCCTCCCACACACTGCTCCACCTCGCTCCCCCCCCCGCGCATGCCGCCCGCCTCCCGACCCTGACCTGCGGCCCCCCGATCCTTCCTGCTCCCAGCGTCGTTGGGCGGTCGCGGCGTCGTGGAAGGAGCCAAGGTCGGGTCGGACGAAATGGAGGGCATAGGGAAAGGGGGCCCTGCGAACTCTGCTGCGTGCAGCTGGTTTCCGCCCCGCCGCCAGCCGCCTTTCTCGATGCGTTGGCGCCTCCGGCGCTGGGAGGCGCCAGAGAAGTCAGCTACGTGAGTTGATTCGCTGCCCCCCCTTACCCCCCCCCTTTTGTCCGGCCTGGCAAAGGAGGGAAGACCACCCCGATCTCCACAGCTGGCGTCCGCTGAACAGTCCTGGGCGTTTGTCGAAGAGGAGCGAACGACATAAGGATAAACTTCCGGAGGTGTGCGCGGATTTCTTGGGTCGCCGTCGCACCCCCTCTGCGCTTCTCGCCAGGGAGGGGTGTCCTGCGCCGATCCGAGACATCCGCGCGGACCTTCGAAAGTCTATGCTGATACCTTCTTGCTTGTTTTTGTTTGCTACGCAGTCCTGCCCTGCTCGCTTCCTTGGCTTCGCTTGCGGGGTGTTTGCTACGAGGTGATTCCTCTGTCCTTCCAAGAAGCAAGGCGGGAGCGCTGAGGACCCCTCGGTGGACGCCAGCTCTGCACCTGCACCCTGATTGCACCGACCCTGGCCGGGCTGATCTTGGGCCCACGATCGAGGTAGACGGGTTCCTGGCCATGCCAGGAGGGCGTAGGTATGCACCGACAGGACCGGCCTGCCCAGGCTCGGTGCAGGGGGACAGAAGGCGTCGTCCCGACCCTGTCTTTGCGTCCAGCTTCTCGAGCTGGGGATCGACCTGTCAGGGCCCCTGCGGCCTGAAGCAGGGCGACCAGGCCCTCCGTGATTTGCTCACGACGCGTGAGTGCCAGAGAACGACGGCGGCGACGGCGGCGACGACGGCGCCCCCAGGACCCGCCGTCTCCCAGGCGGCCGACGCAGCGGCAGCCCACATTCCGCGCTGGCGCGGGCGCCGGGCCGCCCCTGCAGCTGGGAAACGAGGCGCCGCAGGCGCGCGCTCGCGCGCGCGCGGGTGCCGCACCGAGGGTCGGGGCGCGAAGCCGCGAGGCGCGCCGCGCGGTGTGCGCGAGCGACGCACCGTGGGGGCCGTACTGTGGCGGGCGCTGCCATTTCGAAGGTCTTCGGGCGATTCTGGAGGTCCTCGCGGCCACGGCTGCGCGTAGCTCGAATTGCTGGTGAGGGTGGTTTGGGGACCCCATTTGAGCGGGTCAAGGTCGGGCCGTCGGATACATACAGGCGACGCTGGACCGTACACGCTGCGCGCCGCTCGCGCGCGGACGCACGCGCCACCCAAGGCATTTCGGCGGCGCGCGCAAAGGAGGGCAGGGTCAGGGGGGCATCCCTCTACGAAGGACCCCCCCCCCGCCTCCGTCAAGGCGGGTGCCGTATGGTCCTTGAGGGGCCGTGCCCTCTGAGAGGCCCTCCGCCATGTACCCCAACGCACGGTCGCGCAAGGCTACTCATGGCGCCTTTCGACGTCAAGTGGTTCGGCCCCCCTGTATTCCCAGAAGCCGCTCTCCGTTCCCTCGCACCCCTTGTTGCTCACCGCCGAGGGGCTCTGCAGGCGCCTGGGGTTTGGGGTGGCGCCGCTCGCGCGCTCGCGCGCTCGAGCGTGCACCCGAGGCAACTTCGGCAGAGGTCGTTCGTGTTCGCGAGCTGGAGGCGGCGGTGGGTGTCAGTGCGTGAGCGTTTGTTCGTTTGTGAGTGGGCGGTGGTGGAGATCAGAGGGGAAAGACATCCCGATACCGATACCGATGCCTTTGCCACGGCTGTATCCGTCTCGGAACCTTGGCCAGATGGCACCCCAGGAGTGGTCCAGAGGCTAGGGATATCGGTATCTCCCCCCGACCGTAGAGGAAGAGAGGATTCGACGAAAGTATACGGTATAAAAGGGTGTAAGTGTACAATGTAAGTGTACAGTAGCATTTGCAATTAGTTGATTGTATTCGTTAAGTGTATTAGTTAAGTGTATTAGTTAAGTGTATTAGTTAAGTGCGTTAGTTAAGTGTATTAGTTAAGTGTATTAGTTAAGTGTAGTAGTTAAGTGTATGAGTTCTGGAAAACCAGGGGTGTCACACATCGGGCTGGCAGTTTCAGAGCTTTGCGAACGTAGTTTTGTTGCGCTGCCACCCTGTTTTGACCATTCCCTCCGCGTGCAATTGTGTACTCTGCTCGCGCAGTTTCTTCGCAGAGGGCAACAACGCCACCCTGGTCTGTGCCACCCTGGTATGGCTTTCCCGATTGGATTTCAATCGGGGGTGACAGCACGGGGTGGGACCACTTCGGGCTCCCCCCAAACTGTGCAAGTTTTAGGCAAGCTTGGGCAAGTTTGGGCAAGCGCGGACCCCCCCCTGCCCCCGGCCAAATTGTTGAGGCAGTGGTTGTACACAGCACGCCGTTTTGTTTACAGCTTTGGGACTCCATTGCCACATGCAATTGTTCGAGGGATGCCATGTGCCAAATCAAACCCGCTAGTCTTCGGGAGCGTGTTTGTGGGCGCTTCGGTGACGAATTTTCTCAGCCGCTGCCTCCGAAGCTTTGCTTGCTTGTGGAACCCCATGATGTCGCCTAAAAATGCCGCTTCAGCGAGCGGCTGTTTCAGCCGGATTGGACCCAAGGAAACAGGACTGGCTTGGGGCCCAGACAATTGTTCGAGGATGTTTGGAGTGCTATGTAGTGCCCAGATCGAGGATGGAAAGAACATGGGTTACTCCAGTGCGTGGTTTCTTTCTTCTCTTCTGCAGTTTTGGTTCGTCGGTCCCCGGAACTTTTCGGTCGATTTCATGTCTTCGTTGGAGTGCTCAGCATGTTTCGCCTTCCGACGGTTTCCGTTGGCCTTTGAAGCAGACAGCCCGGGTTCGGACTGCCCCGGGTTCTTCTCTCGGGGGGGCAGTAGAAGGGGGTGTTAGCCCAAGGTGGAATTAGGCAGGACAGGCCTTCCCCTCCCCCGTACATGTTTTTTCTTTGCTGGGTTTTTGCTTATCCCTTGGGGATTTCCTGCTGCCCCCCCTCTGGGCAAACCCCCGCTCTACGGCCCCCGACTTCTTATCATCGACCCGACAGCAGGGGTAAATTTGCTCATGTCGCGGCGGCAAAAAAGATGCGCGGAGCATGCAGAGAGAGCAACGACGTTGACGACAAAGAAAGCCACAGCGGAAGGCAGCAGTTGATGTAGCACGAAACCTTCTCGTGAGTTCCAGCTGTCTGGTATCAGCGTATTAGTTAAATGCACTGGTTCAATGTATTCGTGTATATGTTCATTCGTGTATCAGTGTAACATGAAACCTTCTCGCGAGTGTATGCGTGTATTAGTTAAGTGTATTACTGTATTAGTTCAGTGTATTAGTATATTAGTCCAGTGTATTCTAGATCAGTGTATTAATGTATTAGTTCAGTGTATTAGTTCAGTGCATTAGTCAAGTATATTAGTGTGTTAGTTCAGTGTATTAGTTAAGTAATTGTATTTCGTAATTAAGTGTATTAGTGTATCAGTTCAGTGTACTAATGAAGTGTATTTGTTAAGTTAAGTGTCTTCGTTCATTTCGTGTATTAGTTGGTTCAGTTAGCTGATACACTTAACACATACATTTAACTAATACACACCGTTTCTCTCTGGTCCCCTCCGCTCCTTCCCTCACCTCCCCCCACACGTACACTTAACTAATACACTTATTACATTTAACTAATTCACACCGCTCCTCCCCTGTCCTCTCCTCTCCTTCCCTCTCCGCACCCACACGTACACTTAACTAATACACTCAACTCATACATGTAACTAATACACACCGTTTCGCCCCTGTCCTCTCATCTCCTACCCTCTCCTCCCCCACACGTACACTTAACTAATACATTTACTAATCAACTGAACTAATACACGCCGCTCCTCCCTCGTCCTCTCCTCTCGTTCCTCTCCTCCCCACACATACTTCTAACTAATACATTGAACTAATATACACCGCTTCTCCGCTGTCCTCTCCTCTCCTTCCCTCTCCTCCCCCACACGTACACTTAACTAATACACTTAACTAATACACACCGCTCCTCACCTCTTCTCTCTTCTCCTTTCCTCTCCGCCCCCACACGTACACTTAACACATACACTTAACTAACACACTCAACTCATACAAACGGCTCTTCCCCTGTCCTCTCCTCTCCTTCCCCCCCCTTCCCCACACGTGCACTTAATTAGTGCACTTCAGTAGTACACTTAACTAACACACGCCGCTCTGCCCCTGTCTTCTTCTCTCCTTCTCTGTCCTCCCCCACACGTGCACTTAACTAATACACCTAACTAATGCGCCCCGCTCCTTCCCTGCCCTCCCCTCTCCTTCCCTCCCCTCCCCCACACGTACACTCAATTAAAACACTGAACTTATACACATAACTAATACACACTGCTCCCCCCCGGTCCTCTCCTCTCCTTCCTTCACCTCCCTCACATGTGCACTCAACTAATACACTTAACTACTTACGCAGGACGAAGGATTTTCCTCTTGAGGTGAAATGGCCATGAGGAATTCGCGAGACAACGTCGGCGCCGCCGAACGGACGGCGACCGGACGAGCTCTTTGCAGCAACCAGGGGGAGAGGGATGTATGTATTCATGTTGAACGGGGCCCGCTCGCGCGGGGAGTTGATGGGAGTGCGCGAGACGACGCAAGGCCCATCGTATAAAATTGATTACCGAACCCCCCTCCCCCATAGAATCTTAACACGGGCGGTTTGCGGGGTCCGCGGATCCGATTTCTTCCGGCCCCCTGCTTTAATTTAATCATATAAATTCAAACAGGGTAGAAATCGGATCCGCCGTAAAAAATAAGACAGGACACGGATCCAGCTAATCCGAAATCGGAACCGTACGGACGGAAATCGGATCCACCGAAAGAAACACCAAAACCAAATTTGGATCCGCGCGAATTTCATGGGATCCGACGGTGGTTATTTCATACGGGTCTGCTCAAGACTTCACACCGTCGTTCTGGGCCCAAGAGGAAAAACTTTCGTCCTGGGGATGTAATGCACTCAACTCATCCACACCTCTCCTCCCCTGTCCTCTCCTGTCCTTCCCTCTCCAACCGCACACGTACGCTTAACTTATATTCGTATTTAGTACACTTAACGAATACACACCGCTCCTCCAATGTCCTCTCCTCTCCTCCCTTTTCCTCCCCCTGCACGTGCACTTTCCTAATCCACTTAGCGAATACACTGAACTAATGCACACCGCTCCTCCCCTGTCCTCTCCTCTTCTTCCTCCCCCCCCACACGTACACCTAATTAATACACTGGACTAATGCACTTAACTCATGCACCCAGCTCCTCCCCTGTCCTCTCCTCTCCTTCCCTCTCCTCCCCCATACGTACACTCAATTCATACACTCAACTCATTCACTCACCTCATACACTCGAACACCCAATTCATACATTTAGTTATTACACTTAACCAATACAGTTAACGGACACACTTAACACATACACTTAACTAGTACACTTAACTAATACACTGAACTAATACACTTAACGAATCCACTGAACTAATACACTTAACTAATACACTATAATACACTTAACTAGAACCACGCGCGCTCTTCGCGCGCGCTTAGGTTCTAGCCGTGGCCAAGGAACTCGACGACGACGACGACGACGACGAAGGACGCCGACGACGACGACGACGACGACGAAGGGCGTCGACAAGGCAACCGCGACGGTGAAGCGCCCGCCAAGGCTTCGCAAATCCGAGAGGGCTGTAGGGTGGCGTGCTGTTCGCGTGCGAACGACAGAAATCATACAACGTGGCATCATTGGGCCTTCTTGGCGGCCCACTTGGGGCTTGTTGGGACTCGTTTGGGGCCCTCGAAGGCAGTCCTGCTCCTGGGCGGTCTTTGGAGGCTGGGGCCGTTTTGGGGTTTTTTGAAACCGTCTTGGGGGGCTTTTGTGGCTCTGGGCCTTCTTGGGGGCCACATGGGCTCTTCTGAGGTTGTTGTTCTTGG